GTAGAAGAGGCTGTACAAAAAGCTGAACACTGATATCTGACTCCTCTTCAAAGAGGAGGGAAGTGGTATTCAAAGCTCAGCTTCATATCAGATGGATTCTGCTAATTCCTGTTTGATCAGAGTCACTGTGGTTACAGCTGCTAATCAGACACTGTGGGAGGATCCACAGGAGCAGAGTCTCAGCAAGTCTATCACTCACAGGAGAAAAATGTAATATTAATAAAAGAACCTTAATGTCTTCTTTCATTTACACGGGTCAGTTAAATTTGACGGTGGCATCAGAAGCAGCTTAAATGTCCAGGTGACACTCTGGGTAAAGGAGGAGGGACTAAAGTGAGGGTAATAAGCATCATGTGGCTGTAAATGTTTATTTTCTTCAGATTACCAGTCTACATTATGAGCATGAATAAGCCTTTGAGCAGATGTTACTACAACTTAATCATATAATTGGGGGGGTCTCTATGTCTTCCAGCAGTCTAAGCCTATAGCAGCATTACTATAGATATAGCTCAGGATAACCTGAGCCACTCTAAATTTAAGCCTTGTCTTAAAAGTAGACAGGGGCTGTCTGAACGTCCGCTCTAATCACTCTATAGGGCACTATCTCATGGGTACGCCTTTTTAGATTTTTTTTCAGAACGTCTAGTGGCTGAAAAAGTGATGGACTCGAAGTTTCCCACAATGCACCATGAAAAGCAGTGGTCATCCACGGACACTAGAGAAGCGGATATATCCCAGATTGCTTTGCAAGAGCTCTCCTCTCAAATCATCATTCGATTTGTCTTTGGTGGTGACCAGTGATGGGAGCAATGCCGTTACTAACGCTGTTACCTTTTTTAGTAACGAGTAATCTAACTAATTACTTTGACTGTAACTATAACGCAGTTACCATTGCAGACACCCTGTTACTGCGCGTTACTCAGGTCGCACAATGAACCTTTTTTTCATGATAGGACTCGTGCGTGCCTCGTCATGAGAGAGGGGAGGATGAGAATGGCTGATGTATAGAGAGATTCCGTCTGTCAGTTGGGTAGGTGGGTGTTTCAGCTGGTGGGTGTTAACGTACAGCACACACAGAGAGATGGAGAGTGAGGAGGACTCCGGCAGCAAAACAGCATTTTCTACATGGAAATACTGGTGTTACGTCAAGCTGCGTTTCCCCATCAGATACGGTTTCCTCTGCATCTCCGCACAGCGCAGGCGGCACGATTCACTGCGCAGGAGACAGGAAACGCGCATGCTCGCTAAAGGCGCGTAACAGCCGCCCTGTGCTCACGCCACAGTAACTACGGAGAGCGTGAACGATAAAATGATAGCCTATATGGAGGAAGGGAGAAATCTGGATAGATAGATAGATAGATAGATAGATAGATAGATAGATAGATAGATAGATAGATAGATAGATAGATAGACAGACAGACAGACAGACAGACAGACAGACAGACAGACAGACAGACAGACAGACAGATGTTGCAGTATCTATAACAACCCAAACACACAGGATTTTAGAATTAGACATCCCCAGTTATTAATTTCATTCACTCACCAGATCTGAACGCCCACTTAAAAAACGTCACACCCATGAGTAGAGGTAATGCAGCCTGATGATATTTACACCACATCAGATACCGTTCCCTCTGTGTTAAGAAGAGGGGAACGCTATCTGACGGGGTTGAAAAGCCCATCAGATAGCGTCCCCACGATGTAATTTACGCCGAGTTGCAATAAATGTAAAACTCTCTGCAGGTTCTTGTCTTTGTCGTCCGCTCTGTTCAGCTGCCTTTGGAAACACACGGCGAGAAGGTGGGGGCTGGGTGGAGAGGGTTACGGGCGTGAGAAATGCAAAAGTAACGCCATTGTTACTTTTACTAGTAACTAGTTACTTTAATTGTGGAGTAACTCAGTTAGTAACTCATTTACTTTTTGGGAGAAGTAACTAGTAACTATAACTAATTACTTTTTCAAAGCGACGTGCCCAACACTGGTGGAGACAAATAACAAAGATGTTCAGCCACTGTGCGGAGAAGTGGAGTTACATGGCCGTAAGAAAGTAATCATTATCACTTAATTAAGTGTACTATAAAGACCACCATATGGTTGCTCTATGTAATGATTGAGGAATGTAGGGGTTAGGGTGGACCTTAAGATGCAGTCATGGTTGCTGCCTCACAGAATTAAACTGGTAGTTGGTTGCACAGTTGAGTGGATCTTGGCTGCATCATTTTTGATCAGCTGGAGGATTTTAGCTACAGTGTGTGGAGTTCCTGATAGTAAAGAATTACAATAGTCAAGCTTTATGGTAGGCGAAAATAGGCGAAAAAAGGCAACGAAATGTTGGGCATGTGCAGTAATATTTATACAACAACCAAACCGGAAAACCGGTTTGGTTGTTGTATAAATATTCGTGGTTCAGTTAAATTGAGGCGATGAACTATGTCGTCGATATTGCTCTGTTCTTCCTGGAGATATTCCAGAAGAGGAAGATTCTGTTGTAAGCCCGACAGCTTAAAAAATGTGGTTAGAGCTTAAAGATGGAAACGCAAAAACGGCGTTTCAAAATCTTCCCACTCTGAAGGCTGAATAAAAAAAAAGATCGTTTACAGACCCCCGAAACGCCGGCTTTGTATGGATGAGAGGCTGGTTTGGTGAAAAATTTGTGCGTTTAGGCCAGGGTTTGACTTCGTGTGGACGGGGCCCGAGGCTGCAGCATTCCAACCCCTGCATAAAAAGGGGAACTCCACACACATTAACATTCCACGAGGGAAACACTTTAGCTCATCAAAGGACAGAGATGACAAATGTTTTCTATTCACACCAGGATGTTAGAATCTTGACTTGTTTCCCCCTTATCTAACCTAGGGGGAAACTTCCTTTCAAACCTCCTTTATTTCCTTTCATCTCAACAAGGCTTCTAAGTAATCAGTCCTAAATAAGAAAAAGAAAAGACAAACTTTAACATCACTCACAAACAGCCAAGGAAAAATACCATTCCACACCCCTCAACAGGATATTTGCAATATTCCAGGGATGAAAAAAGGACGTTCTAGAAACCTCTTTAATTTGGTGCTGTTAAAAAATAAGACCAAAGGTTTATCACTTTATTATCTGAAATCAATTTAATGCGATCCAAATTAAGTGGCTGAAAAACCAGCTTGTTCTTCAAAGGCTCTGGTTCAAAGACTATATCTTTTGTTTTGTCTGCATTTAGAAGCAGAAAGTTAAGAGTCATCCAGGTTATTATGTCTTCAAGACATGCCTGTAATCTATGTAATGGAATAGTTTCAACTGGATTTATAGACAGATATAGCTGGGTATCCTCAGCATTACAGTGGAAATGAATCCCATGCTGTCTACTAATTCTACCATTTTAGAGCATATATATACTAGAGATAATTGGCCCTAGCACTGATTCCTGTGGTACTCCACAGGTAACCATAGAGCATGAGGAAGATGTATCACTAGCGTGAACGAACCTAAAATTGTCAAATAAATTTAAAGCTGCCTAATGCCATTTCTTTATATTTCTGAAAATTATCCTAGTCTTTCTAAAAGTATTATGATAAGCTGTATCAAATGCAGCATTAAGATCTAACAGGAGGACCATATATACAATATTGAAAGTCTTCAAAATGCTAATTATTATGTAAATGGTCACAAAATTTTTTACCTAATATTTTCTTATGAATTGTAGAGAAAAGACCCTAACCCTAACCCTTTTGTGAAAGTGATCCTGAAGGTTATTAAAAAGGTGTCAGAGAGGACAGGGTTGTGAGGAAATGCAGTTATTTCTTCACATTTAATGTCATATGTCAGCACAAGGTCCAATGTTTGAAGATGAGAATGTGTGGGATTATTCACATTTTAAACAAAGCCAATAGCATCTAAATAGCATCAAATGCTGCACTTAAGTTATCACCCTCAATGTCAGAGTGGAGGTTAAAATCCCCACCATGATGACCTTGTCAGTATTTAAATTTTAATCAGACTGCAGTTACGAAAACTGATCTAAAACTCAGAGTAGGTCCTGGTGGCCGATACAAGGTTACAAACTTTGTTGCTTCACAATTTAAATGGGCTAATCTAAGGATTAAATTTTCAAAGAATTGTAACTATTAACTGGCTTTGGAGTAATCAGTTTTTTTGCTCCTCCTCCTCCATGCTCAGAATTTATGGGCATATGAACATTTACATAACTAGAGGGATTTTAGAGTTTATTAGAGTTTATTACTTTCATTTTTCTGTAGTTGAGTTAGCGTTAGCTTGCATGACCGGCTCCGTCATGCTGGTTTTCCTTCAGTATGAGCGCCACAAGCGTCACGTCACGTGACTAAGAAAACGTAACGGGATTGGCTGGGTGTTGGACGCCACACTCCATTGCTAATATCTGTGACCTGAAGTAACCCTTCCCTTTTTACACTGAATTTAGACGCTGAATTTAAGACAGTGAAACAGAACCAGTTGAATCTCAGGAGGCTTAAAATTGAAAATTGAAATTTTGAAAGGTTGAATTCTTTTATATGCATATTTTTTTAACACTCAAAAACTAAACTAAAAAATAAGTATTGAAAATGTAATCACTTTGAAATAGTAATGTGGATTTTTAGCTTAAAGATAAAATAACAAATGAAATTTCAACTGTGTAGAAATAATGACAATGAACTTCTTTTTAGGTCAAAAATGTGTTCTGAATATAGTTTAACACTGAAACAGTGATTTCAAACATACAACATTTAAATTTCAGTGGCATTTTTATTTCAAATCCCAGCAACACAGATTTACTTCCATAATGAACCTAATAAGATCAAGTGTTTAACTTACAGGAAACAGAACTAAGAAATTTATGAAAATTCAATCATAGACTCTTCTGCTAAACATGCTTTTTTATGATTTGCAGTTTAGATCAACTCTAAACTACTTAAAATAAGTAACCCTTTCCTTCTATCTCCACCAGAGGGCGCCATCATCCAGTAGGCGGAGCTCTCCTTGTGCTCTGTGTTCCAGCATTGTGTCAATAATAAGTGTTGCTGTGAAGAGAACAATAGTCAGACTGAATGTTGAACATCAGCTAGTTTCTCCTGCTGATTTAAACCTTGTTGGACAGATGGAACATTGGCTGTGGATTATTCTAGCTGCTCTTTTCTTTGGTAAGATAGAAAGCTCAACATGTTTCCTCTTCAAACACTTGAACACATTACTGAGCTCTACATGAAGAGCTTTAATGTTCATTCTACAGAAAATCAGAGCAGATCATTTCTGCTGCCATTTGTTACCTTGTAGAAACACCTGATATGGTTCAAAGTGACAATGATCAGAGAAAATGACATCTATTCTACATGGAATAGAAGTCTTTAAAGCTGCTGATTGTTCTCCTTTAATCAATCATCTTTATTGATTCATCTCTTCCTCTGCATGTTCTGTTCTTCCTCAGAGTGTAAAGGAGACTCAGTGACGCAGACAGAAGGACATGTTGCTGCTGCTAAAGGAGAATCTGTCACTCTGGGATGTATTTTTACAACAAGCTATACAGGTTATACCTTGTTCTGGTATAAGTTAGAAGAAAACAGCTTTCCAAAGTACATGCTAAAGCAACTTTCTTCAACCAAGGAAAAAGCTCCAGATTTTAACCACATCAGATTCAATGCTGACCTTGACAGTGACAAGAAATCCTTTAATCTGACGATCCAGGATCTCCGTCTGTCAGACTCTGCTGTGTACTACTGTGCTCTGCAGCCCACAGTGACAGGAAACACCAGAACTCTGTACAAGAACCTGCAGAGCAAAGACAACACGGCACCCAACAATATCCACCAAAGAGCCTTACAGTCTATGAGATTGAGTCAGGTTATTACTCTGAAACCAAACATCATTTCTAATTTGTGAACAACTTTAGATCAACAAAACATTCCAAGGAATAACAACATGCTTGTTTTAACAAGCAACAAAATTAGAAAACATAAAGTTGAACAAGAATTCATTTATGGGTCATTGTCTTTTCGCTCATCTGAAATACACACATGTTACTGTAAATTTATGAATTGTGAAGCAAAAAAAAAACTCATTGGAAGGAATATACTGCTTAGAATGCCAAGCTGGGATAATGCAAGTCAGTTATGTTATTTTCTTGCTGCATTGGGTAACCTTATATATAGATTTATGTGGAAAGTATGCATCTGTACAAATTAAATCATCCTGTTACAGATAGCAGGGAAAGTCAGTCAGATTTTAGCCCTGAGTGTGGAACCATTGGCTCTCCAGTCTTTTAGTAAATTTGTTATTGAAATTTTATTCCATGTTATTTACTTGTATTTTAACTTTAATTTAATTTTTTCATATGGACACATGTGTGTCTCTATTAAAAGTGATGATGATGATGATGATGATGATGATGATGATGATGATGATGATGATGATGATGATGATGATCATATTTTTCTGAATGACATACAGTATATTAAAGATAATCCAGGAAGGCATTAATGTTTACTCAAAATGTTTTCACTCACTCACAGTGAATGCATTTTTTGAATACCAATCACAGTTTTCAGGGGTTTTTATCCACCTCTTAACATATATTTTGTATGAGAGATCAGCATAGATGCAGGTGTGACAAACTATTTTTCCATTGTTTTACATATTTATCTAAATGACATACAGAAAAGAAATGAACCGTAAATCAAGGAAGAGGAATGACTGTTGCTCATAGTGAAAGAAGGTTTTTAAACCGTTTTACTGTTTTTGCACAGTGCTCATTGTTTCGAGGGGTTTTGGAGCATCTGACCTTGCCTCTTTAACATGGAACCCAATGTAATTTAAAAAGACAAGCAGAGGTGACAGACCTTTATATTTGTTGTTCTCACTCTTTTTGTGAATAAGCTGCAGATATGAAATCAACCACAATCGAGGACGAGGGATAGCTGTCACTCAGACTGAAGAAACTTTTTTGAATTTTTGTTACGTTTTTTGTTCAGCGCTCATTTGTTCGGAAGGCTTTTTCCTTGTATAAAAGGATGTGGAGTTAAGGAACAAAAGTTACTGCACCTTGGATTCTGTTTCCGTTATGCTTGTTGAAATGTCATCAACAAGGGGTGCCAGGTCCTTAGAGGTCAGTTTAAGCTGTTCTCTATGAACTAGCGCAGGGGTTGGCAACTTTTCCTTTTTTCTTTTCTTTCTTCTTTAGTGCCCCCTTGCGGCTCCCTTTTTTATATGTTTATTTTAATATGGTGTGCAGGAGGTCAAACAGACATTTATTATGTTTTCCAATGTTGTAAACATTCGTATAATAAATTAAATTTAACAATAAATGTAAACATTTCTTTCAACGAAAATAAGCGTCATAGCCATAGAGATCAGTGGTCACAGCCTTCAACACACGATCAGCATGGCGCAGTTCCAGGTGAACAAAATGTGGGGGATGTCCCAGGCCACAGATCACAAAGGCAAAAAAGGAAGAGAGCACTGGAAACGGAATGTGAGATTACTGGGTTACAGAGATCTGCTCTGATGAATGTCAGTTCCTGCTTGGTTCCTCATGACTCATCAAACTCCTCTCAACAGAAGCATGTCCACCATTGATTCCTTTATTTTGTTTCTATCATTTCATGATCCTGACAAAACCTAAACCGTGGCGAAGTGGCTCCTCCCTAAACTCATGCTACTATGTGACATTTGCTTCAGGATAAAGATTTAATCATGAATGACTATTATATATTTAAGCCCAGTTGCTCCCTTTTTTATAGTGGGCTAATACACTTAGAGTCCGTGTTGCCAGATTTGGTTTTTTGGTGCATCATGGCTCTGTGAACAGTTTGGGTTGCCGGCCCCTGAACTACCGGCTTTGCAGCTGATCCTAGACTAACGTAAATGAGCCTTATTCAAACACCTGTAGGACTTTAAACCATGGATGTTCACACAGGGCAATTTAATTTCATATCAAACCATTTCCATCATAACAGAGTCTATTAACAATATAGCAGTGAAAAAGAGTGATTAAATCATTGCTGGCTCTGACCCTATCCTTAACACACAACCCTACTAGATTTTCAAAGTAAGACTTCACAAAACAAATGCCTCTACTGTAATGATCTTGGCACTGCTGTCTGGTCTGATTACTCATTTCACTCACCTGTATAGCTCCGCCCTGTTTGCATCCCTGCTTATCTCATTCACCTGCTCTAGTCTCTATTCAACAGCCTTCAGACCATTCAACAGTTCCAGATTATTTTTGAGCTGTTCGTGAGAAGTTTTCTAGCATTCCTGGATTCTGTTTGCATTATCCTGACCCGTTCTACCTCCCGTTCTACCTCTGAGCCCGCCTGTCCCCATTTGCTTGTCCTTTGCCAGGGATTTCACCACCTTTTTTGCCAAACTATTCAGACAATTCTGAGCTATGCTGGGGATCTTTGTGAGTCCATCCTCAGACGGAAGGTCCTACAGAAAGGAGCAATCAAGAGATGCAGACCAATCTCTGCGTATTATGTAAGTGAAAACCTACCAAATGGTCCAGTCAATTGCCATGGTTTGAATAGGCTGTTCCGCTCCTTCGAGCACCACTGTGCTCTCTCTGCTTTTTGTTGTTTTTGGTTTTCAGACAACAGTGTTCACATCCAGGAAAAAGATTTAAAGGTTGTCTGCTTTGATGTACCAGTGAGCCATCAGAGAGCCAAACCAATGCTACAAACCACCAGAGGGCCCTGGCAACTGAATACTGGTGGGGTCAGAAGGTTTGACTCTCCACCAAACAGTGGTGTCAAAAGTTCACACATTTGTTACTTGAGTAGAAGTATAGATCCTGCAGTTTAAAAATACTCTGGTAAAAGTTAAAGTATCAGCTTGACCTCTTTACTCAAGTAAAAGTGAAAAAGTATGTGCTCCAGAAACTACTTAAAGAATAAAAGTATAAAGTAACCTTTGAAAAAACAGCCAGATGCCACTATATGAATTGAAAGCTTTTGAGTATTTCTACAAATTCTTTGAGATAGGGCCAAGGATGAGGGAGGTCTTGTTGGTCTCCGTCTCCCGATAAGCTCTTGCCTGTGTCCGACCTTTCAGACATTGTAGCATGGCATAGACAATTCACGTCTGCAGTTTGAAGAACACCTGCTTGCTTCTGATGGTTTCCTTTAGCTAACCAATGAGTGTTTGCGTTCTATGACTCATCCAATCACACTAGTTTTCACTAGATGTGGATGGAGCCAATGATCTGCATTGGATGGAGCACATGATGGGAAATTAATATTTAGAAACATTAAACCAAAGCCAAGAGTAACAAGTAACATTTGTTTTAAAAATCTAAGGAAGAGAAAGTACAGATACTTGTGTGAAAATGTAATGAGTAGAAGTCGGAAGTAGAGTAATACAGTAAAGTATAGATACCTAAAAAGTGTACTTAAGTACAGTAACAAAGTATTTATACTTCATGACTTGACACCTCTTCCACCAAATACATGTCCTTTAGGTTGGAAAGCAGGAAGCTGGCACCTCAGTTCATCGGGCCATTTCCCATTACTAAGGTGGTGAATCTGGTGGCTGTCTGCCTCCAGCTCCCCCATTCTACGAGGATTCACCCCACTTTTCATTTGTCCTGGGTCAAACCCTTTGTAGATTCCAGGTTCCTCCAAACAAAGTGGTCAGATCGCATCTGAGTTTATCTGAACTCATAAGGAAGGAACCAGGAAAAACAAGACACATCAGAACACAGGGCAGAATAATCCCCTATGATCTGTTAATTGACACACAGGCTACCTGATGTGTTAAGGACAGACTGTTCTCCAGGCAATGTCTGTATGAGGGGCCAACAGCAGAAAGACTTTTGGTTATTTATTTACACAACGTAACTGTGAAGGGAAAATGTGTTGTATCCTAATGAAAGATTACCATATTTTTTGGCATTTGAGTGTTTGATATTAGTTTCTTAACACAAAAGAAGCTGCAATTGTTAAGCTTGGTTTATGCTCAGAAACCAGGTCTTCTGCGTGTGTCGCAGTTAAACCAGATATGCCCCCCCACCCCAATTCCACAGACACTCTGGTGCACCTCCCTTAAATTGTGGGTGAAAGCAGACAGTGCTGCACATAGCATCACAGGGAGAAGAGAAAGGAGACCTCTGATTGATCAATTCTACATCCGCTCTACACCATGTGTATTTCCTCTATGGTACCTTACCAACTTGTTTTGTTTGTATGACTGCCATTGTGGAAAATGACTTGTGAAGATGGACCAGCTAGAAGAGTGGATGTTCGAAGAAGCGAGGAAGAAACCCCATCTGCAAAATAAAATTTTTTAAATATAGTCAGAAAAAAATCTTGAGGATGTATCTTTAGGAAGTTGACCCAAATATATACTCTGAAACTTGAAATACCCCCAAGTTTCAGAGTATGGCTGGATTCAGTTAAGATTATCTCACCAAAAATCCAGATTATTCATTTGAATATGTTAAGAATAATTTGATTGTACCTGGATTAACCTGATTTATTGTCTTGTTTTGCTGCTGCTCATGACATCCTCAAGATGTTTTTCTGACTATATTTAAAAATATAGTCAGTTATAGTTTAAAAATAATCTTTTGCACTAATGGTAAAAATGACCATTTGAATGCATGTTTGTTTTTTGCAATAAAAAGAATAAAATTTCTTGTTTTTTTTTTTTTTTCCAAACTTGGGTGAAACAATTTCATAGTACTCTAAATAATTGAGGTAACAATCTGCATAGACCTTTTTGAGTAGAATTTGACTCAAAACAAATAAGTTATGATAGATTATATAACTAACACCAAAACTTAATTTTCCTTCAAAAATTTTAGTAATATTAAGTTCAATCAGCATTATTACGCATTTAGACATCAATCTAAATCATATTGGTTATACTAAAAAAGTTAAGTTTGTTGAACTATAAAAGTTTCTTGATATATACTTGATAATGCTTGAGTTGTAAGTACTTAAAAAGGTCCATGCAAATTGTTACCTCAATTTTTTCAAGTTTAACCATAATATTATTTTTTAGAGTGTAGTACTAGAATGTGAAATGCTTACTGGTGGAAAAAGCTCCCCCCTCTCTGCCAGGCAATAAACATTGGAAGTCCTCAGAACCCGGGCATCGTAGACGCTTCCTGGCCATCCAGCATAAATGTTGGTAAAGCTGTTGGAATACTGTGTTTATTTCATGCACTACAGTACTTTAAAATATGAAAATATCACTATTTCTT